ACAGCTTTCTAAATTAAGAACTAAAGCAAGTCCTCAACGTCAGCAAAGAGGCTGACAGCTTTTGTTGTTGGGGGAGTAGTTTTTGATATATGGTAATTGACTGCCTTGACAGTTTTTTACTTGTTTACAGGCCTTGCTGGCAACTGTATGTGGCTGTCAAGGCTCTAAAAACAGATGGGAAAAGAAACGTTAACTCGGCAAGCTACTGTTTGCATAATGAAAAGTCGCACTTCAGTGAGGGAAGGAAAGTGCTGTCTTTTGATAAATGGTTCAGAATTCTCAACCAAATGAATGCTAACCACCTTTTTCTGACAGGGGACGTTTCAACAATTTATTGAAAAAAAATCTAAAGCAGGAATATTTTCATACTGTGCAACTTTAAAATGTGTTCGAAAACAGCATTTTAGAAATAATAAAAGCATATGATCATCAGATTCACAGTTCTTTTATTTCAGCAGTTTATGAAATATGGCCTGACATATCATATGTATCATCCACCACATCAGTTCCTGGCTGACATAGTGGGATCATGTGGAGGAGAAGATTTGCAGTGACATATTCTATATACCTATCTGGGTGTAAGAGTTTACAGGCTGTGTTGAAAGTCAGGCACATAATTACAGTTCATGGGGCCCTATAGTAAAATTGTGATACCCCCTGCTCCGTGAACTGTCTCTGCAACATCTGGCAATGTCAGTTGGGCTAATAGTGTAACTGATTCAAACATAAAATATGTCTAAATCAAGGACAGGCAGCAAGAGAGCTATTAACATAGTCAGTAGAATATGAGGGACCAGTGCTATGGATAGAAGTTGTAGGAGAAGCTAACCCCTAAATTTGATGAAATGTAGTTTTTCCAGGTTTTTTTTTTTTTAAATAAAATGCTGTTTTCAATCTTTTTCATAATTTTTCACATCTCAGTGGTGTTGGTCTCTTTATGCCTCTCTCAGCCACTCCAGTATTGGTTGCCCAGCATTGCTCTTACATAGTTACATTGTTGGTAAGGTTGAATAAGAGACACCAGTCCATTCAGTTCAACCTGTGTGGGTATGGAGGTGTGTGTGTTTATGTCAATACCATTTCCCATATCCCTGTATGTTGCCTTTGTTAAGATGCCTATCTAAGAGTTTATTAAAACTATCATAACTTTCCGCTGACACCGATTGTGGAAGGAAGTTCCACATCCTTACCACTCTAACAGTAAAGAGCCCCCTACGCAGTTTAAGGTTAAGCCGCAAGTCCAACAATTTCATTTAGTGGCCGGGTGTCTTCTTAAGCTTCTTGAAACTGACTATTTTCTTTCCTATGCTAGAATCCCAATTGAGGTATTTATATATCACTATCTTATCTCCTCTCAAGCTTTTCTTCTTCGGTGAGAGTACATTTAATGATTGCAGTCTTTCCTCATAACTGAGGTCCTCCAGTCCCCTAATTAAGTTTGTTGTCCTTCTCTGGACTTTCTCCAGTTCTAGTACATCATTCCTGAGGACTGGTGACTAGAACTTGACAACATACTCAAGTTGTGACCCGAAGCAGAGTTTTGTAAAGTGGAACAATTATAGTTTTGTCTGTTGTGTAAATACCTTTGCTAATAGTCTGCTAGGATTGTTTGCTGCAGCTTGGCATTGCATGCCATTGCTAAGCTTGTGATCTACTAGGACCCCCAGATCTTGTTCCATCCTGGATTGCCTCATATTTTCTCCTCCTAGCAAGTAACTTGCATTCATATTTTTAGCCTCCAAGTCCATTACATTTTTCAACATTAAACCTCATTTCCATGTAGTTTTCCACCTCTTTATGTTATTGAGGTCTTCTTATAAAGTTTCTATATCCTGCTGTGAAGTTATTGCCCTGCTTAGATTTGTATCATCAGGGAACACTGCTATTGAGCTATTTATGTCAACTTCTACATCATCTATGAAAACAGTAAACAGAATTGGTCCCAGGACAGAGCATTAGAACACCCTGCTTACCACTCCAGACCATTCTGAGTACACGCTATTTATCACAACCCTTTGGATGCACCCGTGTAATCAGTTTTCTATCAATGTACATACTCTAAGGTCCATGCCAACTGATCTCAAGTTGTTAATTAAGCATTTATGAGGGACTGTGTCAAATGATTTAGCGAAATCCAGATACACCACGTCATCATTTTACACATATCAGTGCTGTTACTCTCTTAATGCCTCTCTCAGCAACTCCAGCATTGGTTTCCTAGCATTGCTCTTGACTGACTTCTTGAGAGTGACAACTATGAACTATAGCTGTGCAATGTGTGCCAGCGTGGGTGTTTGTAGTATCCACCAAGGGTCATGTGACATGGTGGCAATGCAGAAGAGGAAGACAACTGTCACATGGAAGTATCTGAACAAGGACCTTTTTGGCAGGATCAATACTTTTTTTAATGAAAGTTGCTGATTTTTATTTTAAAAACATTTCAAAGGCTTTTAAAATAACATTACCTGTTAAGGCTTACATTATATCAAGTAAATGATTTTAGATATAATGTAAGTCTTGAAAATACCATCCTTAAGGTGGTCATACACTTAGAAATCTAATCAATGTCTCCATCCATGCTGTAAAGCACTGTGGCTATTGCATTTTATCTGAACAGTGGCTGCATCTGATTGGATGCAGCTGCTAATTGGCTGACAATTTTCCACCAAACTGCTTTGATTTTTCAAATAAGGGATATTGGGTGGAAGGCAGACAACATGGCCACCCAGTCAGCAAATTTTGTCTAGTACCGAAGTGTATGGCCTGCATTTCTTTTTCTTTCTTTATTCATATAATTTTACAATAGTTATTGTAAGGTTCTGTGAGATACTGTGTATGTGTATATATATATATATATATATATAGTGAGGAACAGAATATTTATATATATTATATGGCCTGCATTTCTTTTTCTTTCTTTATTATATATATAGTTATATATTCTGTGAGGAACAGAAGTATTTGAACACCCTGCGATTTTGCAAGTTTTCCCACTTAGAAATCATGGAGGGGTCTGAAATTCCCATTGTAGGTGCATTCCCACTCTGAGAGACAGAATTTAAAAAAAATTTCAGGAAATCACATTGTATGATTTTTAAAGAATTTATTTGTCCTACACAGTATCTCACAGAACCTTACAGAACTGTTGTAAAATTATGTGAATAGAGAAAGAAAAAAAGAAATATATATAGCATTCAAGTCAAACCTGGACTTTTAATTTTACAAGTATAACAAGGGATGTCAGTGTGGCGGTACTACACGCAGTAGTAAGTGGATAGTGTGTCTTGTTCAGGGGCGGACTGACCATTTGGAAACTCGGGCACTGCCCGAATGCCCAGGGTCAGTAGGGGACCCCATGAGATGCCCCTGGTACCTATTTCATAGGCTTTTTTGAGTTTGGGCAAGGACACAGGGGCCCCATGATCCCCTATTGCCCGGGGGCCACATGAGTTGTCAGTCCTCCCCTGGTCTTGTTACTGATAGGTGGAGAATATGTCACGGGCCAGTCCAGAGACCATTAAGATGGCAGAAAACAGTGTTAGTGTGTGCACAGAACAAGGGTGTGGTGATGAGGTTTCTTGTGAATTAAGGTGTAAAACCTGCGGATATCTTTAATAGATTTCAAGTACAGTACAGTGATGATATGTTCATCCACAGCAAGATATTTGAATGGTGTAAACATTTCAAAGATGGCTGTCCATCAATGATGATTTTGGCCATGGTGGTTCCCAGCCCACAGCAGTCATTCCTGTTAACATTCAGTGCATGGAACACCTGATCCTGAATAATCAACACATAACCTGTTGTGAAATTGCACAAGAGACAAATCTTTCTGTGGGAACGGTGAACACAATGATGACGAAGTGAAACAGGATGTCCTAGGATGGTTCAGGCTTACTGAGTATGTCAAAAATTGATGCAGTTTCCACTCCTTGAAATTTGAAATGTGTTCTTTTATTTAAAGCATTGCTCTAAGTATAAGTCATACACTCTGTAAATGAAATAAAAGAAACTGAAAACAATTTATCTTTTCTCTAACAGCCATGCCTGAGATTTTTTTTTTATTTGAAAACTATAATAAAGTATATAAATTTAAGACAGCTCTGTTTCACATTCTGTGCCTTTTCTGCTTTTAAGGTAAACCAGAAAATCTTGAAAGTCTAATTGAAATCTCAAGGTTGTCACCAAAGATGTAAGAGTTATCCAGTTTATCCTCAGTGGATCAGTGCGACTGGTGTGTCAGTGGGATTTCTGTGGTGCCCATTTGATCGCAGCACTCTACAACATGAAAGTTAGAATATCAGACGCAGACAGCTCTGAATAATGATAAACTAAATGTAGTCTGGGTAAACAGTCATGCTAGCTTAAAGATGTCCTCCCCAGGACAATTCCTAATCCTCACTTCAAAAGCCATCAATATCCTTACTGCAGCATTTGGCTCACATTTGACTTATGAACTGATGTGACCATTTCAAACGCCACTTAATCTTTACTGTGCCATGAATAAATATTATAAAGTGAAGACTGGACTTTTTACATGCTTGTAGGATTATTGTATGCACATGCATATTTTGGTTATTCTTATGGCCATTTGTTTATATTTAGATTGGAGCTCCACTCTCCTTTTTTTAACCGCTAGCCTACAGGGCACTTATATCCCCTTCCTGCCCAGGCCAATTTCCAGCTTTCAGCGCTGTCGCACTTTGAATGACAATTGCGCGGTCATGCAACACTGTACCCATATGAAATTTTTATCATTTTTTTGTGACAGATAGAGCTTTATGTTGGTGGTATTTAATCAACTCTGGGTTTTTTCTTTTTTTTTCTTAAACAAACCAAAAACCACTGAAAATTTTGGAAAAAAAAGTTTTTTTCCTAGTTTTTGTTATAAAATTTTGTAAATAAGTGATTTTTCTCCTTCACTGATATGCGCTAATGAGGCTGCAGTGGTGGGCACTGATAGGCTGCACTGATGGACGCTGATAGGTGGCATTGATGGGCACTGATGAGGAAGCACTGGTAGGTGGCACTGATGCACTGATGGGCATTGACAGGCATCACTGATGAGCACTGAAAGGCAGCACTGATACATGGCACTGATATATGGCACTGATAGGCAGCACTGATAGGTGGCACAGACTGGCACTGATAGGCGGCACTGACTGGCACTGATAGGTGGCACTGACACGGCACTGGTAGGCGGCACTGATGCACACTGATAGGCGGCACTGACTGGCACTGATAGGTGGCACTGACTGGCACCGATAGGCGGCACTGATTGGCAGCACTGATATGTGGCACTGATTGGCATTGACAGGTGGCACTGACTGGCACTGATGGGTGACACTGAAAGGCAGCTCAGATGGGCACTGATATGTGGCATTGATGTGCACTGGTAGGCACTGATATGTGGCATTGATGTGGCACTGATGGGCACTGGCACGAGGCACTGATGGACACTGACAGGTGGCACTGCTGGGGCTACATTGATCATCAGGGCACACTGATCATCAGTGCCCTGATGACCAGTGTACATGTCCCCTCCGCGGAAAGCCGATTACCGGCTCTCCTCTCCTCTTGAGCTGTCAGCGTGACAGCTCGAGAGGAGAGAAATGACGATAACTGGCATTTCCCTGTTTACATGTGATCAGCTGTGATTGGACACAGCTGATCACATGACCGAGCCGACCTCATCGGCTCTTTCCGTGATCGGTGATCCGCTGTGTCCGAGGGACACAGCGCTCTGCCCATCACCGGGCTGCACGCTCCCTGAGCCACGCATGCGCGGTGAGAATGGGAGGACATCATTTATCATCCTCCCAGAACAAGAGAACCACCTTGCGCCCATCATTGGACTATATAGCGGGTGAAGGTGGTTAAATAACTTGGCCAGCAGAGTTAAGCAAAAATAACTTTCTTTGCAATACTTACCTTCATTCCATTTCTGTCCTCCAGTAAATTTTTTCTGCCAATAAATATTACTGTTCAGAATTGAATTGCATTACCCGTGAATTTTTGAATTGTAAAAGGGAATCGTAGCATCAGATTTTCCCACATGTTCCTCCAATTTCATAATACAGGAGCTCACTGCTACTGGAAAAGGAGTCTGTCCCTTTAAAAAACAACAACTTACTGGGATAGATACATGGCTCCTAATGCACTATTTATGGTTCTTTATGATACTTCTTGTAGGGGCTCTGTAAAAGGATTTGGTGCAAGTTTATTACACAACACCTTTCCATCTGGATCACCTCTGATGCTCAAAAAGAAGTATTATGTTTAGTAATATATAGTGTGAGCCAATATTGCTATAAGTCACCTGTACATCCCCTGAACATCTTATTTTGTGTTATGGCATTATAGGTGAAATTTTTCATATGCACCACTATAGGTGCTGGGCTCCTGTCTTATCATGACTTTGGTTCCTTGATCCGGATGTTTATACATTGGAGCATACATTGTTTGCCCATTAGAACAATTCCCTAATGTTGTCCAGCCATACCTGTAAGTTTGCAGTCTCTTTTTTTTTTATATATAATACATGGCTTTAATCCGGGTATAGCCCATATTTTATATATGGTTGTTTCCTTTAGGCTTTTCAACGCCCTTTTGAACATTATCACAAATTGCCACCAGCTTCTTTGTTTTGAGTCTTTACTGTCCTAGCGATATGTGGGCACAATCTATGATCATTGTGAGTATGAGTCCATATATATGGCCTAAGCATTTGCTAATCAGTATATCTAGATCTACAACACAACTATACCAGTTGCTGGTGGCACTATGTGCTTCTTTTTATAGGACTCAGTAATATACTATTGAGCTCCCTGGTCTGTTGCCTGTGTTCTGCATTTGGGTCTCCTGTGTCCGTCCCCCAGACTAGATATTGATGGCTGCCACGTTCCTATATAAGTCCAATGATTGTTGTTGTCTATTATATGTATTTTTTACTTTCTTGCATAGAATTGATTGTGTATATATTGTTTGTCCTCTTTATATTTTTTATACAGTAGTACTGCTCTCCCTTACACCGACATTATGATCCTGAAGAAACCAGATATATAGGCGAAACGCTTTGACTATTTTTCAACCCTACTCTTTTTGGAATGAACATCCATGCTATAGGTGACATGATATGTGTCATATGTAAAGGGATAGACAATGTGCCATTCCCCCCCCTCCCGTCTATGTTAGGGGGTTGTGTTCTTGTCCTTAAAATTCTTTTAGTGATTATTTTATTTTAAGAAATTGTGATATGTTTACATGATAGTGTGGTCTCTCACTGTGCCTAAAAAATCCATTAGTCTGGTCGTACAAATTTTGTCTGCATTTTTTTTTCTTACATTTTTAGGATGTGGCACTAGGAAGCATTATACTATTTTCTAGAAAATCTAGAACTTTCTTATGTCATTATTGTATGTGAAGTGTCCTATTTGACTGTGGATCCTTCCAGGAATGCTGGAAGCTTTCTGTACCAGACAGGCAGCGCTGGTGCCTTCCCCCCTTCTTGACCTTGATTTGCTATGTTGCCCACAGAGATGCATATAAAGACCCTCCTTTTAGTACAGTAATTTTTTTTTTTGCATTTTTACATATTCTTAAAGTCAGTGTTCATGCTTTTTTGACAGTAGTTTATCCTAAAAATGCCCAGAACTTACTAGCAAGATTCACCGCTGATAGACTTCACTGCTAAGTTTGGGTTTGCCAAACTTCAAACAGGATTTGCCAAACCCTGGGTTTTAAATATGGGCATATTCATTATTTTCTTTTTAGAAATGGTATGTGGTATTTTTTACTTTAAGTGCGCTTCAGAGTTTCCACTCAGCACTGGAACCCCAAGTGCTTGTGTCATGGTCAGGGATCAGGCTAAAAGATCAGTAGCTATAGTAGTAGAGAGGCTTCAACTGACCAGCTGGTTGAGTACACAGTCGGGTAACCCTGATGGATGAGACATGTTCACACAAGTTGCGGGATCTAAGCACTAAGGACTCTGATAAGATATGGATATAAGGGGGCACAGGCTTTGTTTAACTACCCTAACCTAGTGACAGTCTAATATACATAATAGTGTTGATATTATGCCCCCTGACCTTACTGCTCCCCCAGATCAGCTAGGCTAGATCTGGCCCTGGTTTTGCTGAATGTTAGTACCAGTTTGTAGTCTTCAAGATTGCCCCACCATGATGTGAACAAAAGTATTATTTAGAAAAGTGCCACACCCTAAAATGTCCAAAGCAGCAGATTCCCACTTCAAAAAACTCACATAATTTTTTTGATCAAAACCAATAAAACAAAAGGAATGCACTAAATAAACATATAAAAAATATAACACAGAAAAAATTTTTTTCTAGAAAAAAGAAAAAGTGTTCATAAATAAAATAAATGTCCACAAATTATATCTTCCAAAATCAAGTAATGTCCACACGTGCTAAATCCACCACCAAGAAAATTTGGATCACTCACCAGAGCTCAATGCTGATCAACAAATGGACCAGCAAAAAACACTCTTGCTCTGGGAGCAATAGATATCAATCCAGTTCTTAGATGCAATGCTCTCCAGGTAAAAGATATCCCATAGGATGAGTGGCCACCATTCAAAGATAAGTGTAGATTCCAGGGGTATATATCACCTTTTTATCATATATCTCCGTACCATTGGGACGATATTCAAAGGCAAAAGAAAGAGATCATGGTGCAGCAAGTTCCAAAATCATTAACCGCTTTAATGTATGAATAACACTCACAATTTAAGGTGTCTACACCGACACCAGTATCACAGGCATAGACTCAGGCAAGGGTACATAGGCACACCGCGGATCTCCGGTTCACAGACCCAGAGCTGTTCACAGACCCAGAGCTGTTCCCAGACGTCAGCATCCAGCAGGCCACGCCCTGCGCGTTTCGTCACCAACGACATCCTCACGGGGACAGCAAGACTCTTGGCGTAAAGAACAAATGTATTACTACAACAGTAGGGGATATACCTTACTGTATATGTTTAAATAGTACCCAGACCATTCCTATATATTTGACAGATCCATTTTTACCAAAATCACAGTATAATTTACAGAAAATGTTTAAAAATATAGCAAATGTTTCATTATATTTGGTTAGGGTTGTTGGTTCAAATCCCAACCATGGCACTACCTGCCTGGAGTTTGCATGTTCTCCCTAAGCCTGCGTGGGTTTCCTCCGGATACTCTGGTTTCCTCCAACACTCCAAAGACATGCTGGTAGGTTAATTGGCTCCTGTCTAAAATGGCCCTAGTATGTGTATGTATGAATGTGAGTTAGGGACCTTAGATTGTACACTCCTTCAGGGTTAGGGACTGATGTGAATGTACAATATATATTAAATTGACGGCGCTATATAATTACCTGTAATAATAATAATAATAATAATAATACATTTTTAGCTATTATCTGCATTCATTTTCATTTTTAATTTTTGCAGGAAAAGAATCAATGTGAAAGTGTAACAGCAACAAAACTGCTGTGTATTAAACTGCTATTAAAATTATTTTTCTAAATAACTGCTAGACAAGAGACAGTCACAAGTGTTCTGTCCATGCTGCATTGCCTTTTTCTTTTTCCTAATTTTCCTACCCTATATTTTCTTTTGTCAATTTGTGGAAGATGGATATAAATGTGAATCAAGGCAAATGAGAACATTTTTATGTTCCTCTTGTGGGTTTTTTTTGTAATTTAACTTATGCAGTTTTATCTCTTTTAACTTTATTGGTCAATTACATATATAAATTACAGGTGCTTAATGGAAATATACTGCTAACCATTATAGTATTGTAACAGCTTCTGGCTAATTTGAACAGCTAAGATGGTTCCAGATTTGGTGTACGTGGTAACTAATTAGCATAAGGCTTGAATTGTGAGAATTCTTTAACTTGTTTTTGACAGGAAAACTTAATATTTTATCTGTATGTGCGACATCACAGACACAAAAAGTAACCTATTCTCTGCAAATTGGTGACAACTTTTGAAACCTGCTACATGCCATTATTTATATTGGATATAAAATATAATATTTAGAAGAAGGGTTGTTTTCTCATAGTGTTTTTTTATTTCAATCTTAAAGCCTAACTCTGCGATTGCAATCTCCGCTGCATTAATTGGAATATTTTACTGTCCAGATTTTAGCTTCAATGAAAAACTGTTGTTTACAGAGTTCAATAGCTCGGCCTCAGATTAAACCAAACTCTCCAGTTAGAGGAGTGACCAATTTTCTTATCTGAATGGTTCCATAGGAATTTTTCATTAGGTTAGAGATTAGATAGATTATGAATGTAAACAGCTTCAGCTGTGCGTTCTCTTTGAAAAAAGCAAAAACATAATAAATGTACAGTTTCAAAACATAACAGCTAAGAGCAAAATTCTAAGAGAATTGGTCTGCATCTGTCTCTAAAAGTGCCAGTAGATATGAAATGACATATCACTAAATCATGCCAAGATCTTATGTTTGTGGCAGTTGCAAACAATTCTGTGTGACGGATTTTAT